GTGTGTGTGTGTGGGTGGGNGGGTGGGTGGGTGCGGGTGTATGTATGGATGTGTATGTTTGTCGTGTGTATGTTTGTATATTTATGTATATATATATATATATATATATGCGCATTCCACTTGTCTGTGTTATATCGTAAACGCTATTTGTGATGCGCAATTACCAATCAGGACATATCGATACCATCTCTGGAGACGACGTACTATTCACCGCATATTCACACACTTGTTTACATGTATATACTTGTTAGTTCCTGACTGTCCTTGTGTGCGTGTGTATGCAAATTGCAGGAGTCTGCGAAGGAGAAATGACCGGTCACGACACATCTATCTACTGCATGGCTATCACTGGAGACAACGTCCTCTACACCGGATCAGCAGACAAGACTGTACGCAGATGGGACGTGTGTAGCAGGCAAGCTGTATCGGTGTATAAGCACAAGGACTGGGTATCGGCTGTATGCGTGGTGGGGTCCTTATTGGTCACTGGCACAAACTCGGGCAAGATATGGGTGTGGGACGCGGATGATGTCAAGGAGAACCCCGTGGTAAGTAGGATAGAGAGGTTGATGGTGGATACATGTCACGGTCGAAAGATGAGAGGTTACCTTTTGCGGTTGATCAGGAGAGTACCTGTGTTTGGGTATATGCATGTGTCAAGTGACTGGCACGGACCTGGCAAGTCATAGCTAGATGAGGGGTGATCGCCTGATCTCTGATGTGTATGTATCGCAAACATGTGGATGTAGGCCCATGGGAATCAAGAGGCATGTAAGGCTGAAGTAGTGCTCGACGCCCCACTGTTCTATGTTATAAGCTACTGTACGTATAGTTTGTCACACTGTTCTGTTATAGGCTACTGTACGTATAGTTTGTCACACTGTTCTGTGTTATAGGCTACTACACGTATAGTTTGTCACACTGTTCTATGTTATAGGCTACTGTACGTATAGTTTGTCACACTGTTCTATGTTATAAGCTACTGTACGTATAGTTTGTCACACTGTTCTATGTTATAGGCTACTGTACGTATAGTATGTCACACTGTTCTATGTTATAAGCTACTGTACTTATAGTTTGTCGTGGCGGTTAATCTTCGACATTGATCGCGAATGTATGTCCGAGGAGCTTCTGCCGTACAATGCTGAGTTCCTTGCACTACATTGAATCACAGACGTCCGAATCTCAACAGTGAAAACTATTCCCATTTATGCGAGCGTGTTATTAGACATCTAACAACAGAACCAAAATCCGCAATCGTTCGTCAGTCCGCTATTCGCCTATAGTGCCCTCAGCGACGTTCGTTGTGTGTTTATATATGTAAGGGCTGAATAGTGCTAATACCCTGATATGCCTTGCTACGGTAGCACACAGACGCTTATAAATTCAGCGACGTTCGTAGTGTGTTTATATATGTAAGGGCTGGATAGTACTAATATTGTTATACCTTGCTATGGTATCACACAGACGCTTATACACTCAGCGACGTTCGTTGTGTGTTTACATATGTAAGGGCTGGATAGTACTAATACCCTGATATGCCTTGCTATGGTATCACACAGACGCTTATAGGCCATTTCGACCAAGTGACGTCCCTGTTTCAGCCCATGGGTGAGGGCGAGGAGCACCGCCGGCTGATAAGCGCCTCACTCGACGGTACGGTTAGACAGTGGAGCATCCCCACACCCGGTGTTCAGACTCTCGATGAAGAAGGTGAAGTAATGTAGATGGATACGAATATTAAGTTATAAATTAGTATAGTCAGATTGTAAGGCAATATAGTCAAGATAGTGAAGTAATGTAGATGGATACGAATATTAAGTTATAAATTAGTATTGTCAGATTGTAAGGCATGATAGTCAAGATAGTGGGTACGTCGAAGAGTCGGGGGGGACGTGTGTAGTGCCTGACCAATTGGAGATAGCAGACACAGGAGGAATATGACGATTCGGAATTTGTATTATAAGTTAGTATTGTCAGGTGCTGTGTACGATGGGATATAGAGAGAGCACTTGTCGAATGAACCTTGTGGTATGCGATGAGAGTTCATACAGAGTGTCTCAATACATGCTCTGATGTCATCCTTGTACTTACATAGTACAAAGTCAACGAGGTAGTAGCTACGACGAGATGTAGGGAGCACTTGTCGAGCAGAATGCCAGGCGGGTACTTACATATGGCTGTGATAAACACGCATACCCTGACTTTATAAATATAGGGCTTTTACCCGTAGGGTATGCAGCATTTCCCTGTATTCTATTCACCGATATATTTATATATATATA